CAGAACAAAGCAGTAATGGAAAATTTATCTTAATCTCTGAAATAATTGTGCTGTCTTAACATGTCATGAAAATTCATTGGAATCTCTTAGTAACGTTTATTCCCATTAGGAGCCTAAAATAGAGGTATTTCCAATGTTTTAATATGCAAATTCTTTTCAAAATTATTTTAATTTTATTTTAGTAACTTCTAGGCAAGTTTGCTTTCTTTTCACGGGGTCAAAAAATTCTGCTTAATAGCCTCACAGCATAATAAAACTTACAGTGGAATTAATTTATGTTGTAAAAAATACTCTGTGAAATCAACTACATACATATACAAGGGTATGTGAGGGTATATGATAAGGGCTTTGCTATGTTCCAACATGGACTACATTTTATCCAGCCTTTGGTTTTGCCTTTTTTTCCCACATTTTCTTCCTGAGGAGGAAGTAAAATAACTTGAGGAACAGGGATGGAAAGGAAGATAGTCTGAATCTCTTGTATCTGCTGTGGATGTGAGTCAGATAAGATGATCAAATGGAGATGAAACTGTTTTACCAATGTGGGGCTTTCTCCTAAAGAAATAATTGAAAGTAACAATTGGGACTTTTAATCTGAAATTGATTTTTTATTATTATTAACTGGGACATTTAACCATGAAGTGCCTTGCAAAAATGAGACTGGAAAATCTGAGTTTTTGAGGGGCAGGCTATAGGTAATGTTCTATTTCTAAACTGAGCAGAGGTGTTATTAATTTGTGTTGTGGGAGATCACAGAGGGGGAAGAAGCATGGAACCATAACCTGCTCCCTCTCCCATGGTGATGTGAGTAGGTGGATCAGTAATTAATGCAAAAGGACTTTAGCAGATACCTAAAGTATTTGGTACTCAACTCAACTGCCTGAATGTTATTTTTCCTAGATGATGTTCTGAGTGTAGGAAAGAGCAATCATGCATAAATTGCTGTTATTACAATTTATAGCACTGTTTTCCTTTTTTTCTAAAGCTACTGACTTCAGCATCTGTGGAACACCTTGGAAGACTGGTTTAAATTCTGTATTGGCAGAAATTTTCAATGTTATTTACATCATGAGCTACATCTAACTGAGAAAGTAAAGAAAACACACGCACATAGCATGATCTGCAGTTAGCATGGACCTTGGGCCCATTTTGCAAACAACAAAGCCAAACCTGCAAGCACTGATCCAATGTGCTATTGAGTAAAGCCTGTGTTCCTTTTCACCTGAAACAGTTCTTTAGACAGAAAGGGTTCATTTTAATCCTATATCTGAAATAGTGCATCTTTCTTCTATCTCAGTAGGAGAGAGCCTTCCCTTGTCATAATTCCATGAAAATAACATTATTATTCTTACAAAACTGTTTAGCTCTTGCTCTTCAATTTTTTTATCCAGAATGTCAAATGCAATTATTAAATTCAAGATTCAAGTCAGAGACATAGGCAATCATTTCATCTGAAGTAATTTCTATTTATGTGTAGAACAAAAATTCTTTTAATAGGTACTCCTGACATGTGTGAGTGATAAAGATAACATGAACATGAAGTCTTTGTGTGAATTGTTCAGTGTACATGAAAAATACATCCAATACTAGTGCACTAGAAATTCAAATCTGCAAAGCTTGGAGATTTTCCCTTTATTTCATTAGAAAGTTCTGTTTTTGTAGAAATGATCTGTTGGGTAAGGACATTATTGCAAAAAAAAAAAAAAGTCTGCCAGCTGAATTCAGGATGTCAAGACAGACAGTGACACTGATGGAAATAAGGATGAAGGTCTGAAGTGAGGGTTGAGGCACTCACAATGGCTGGATGTCAGTGCCTTTGCTTTTTCCCTTTCACTGTGGATAAACAGGGCTGGCCAGAGGGGTGAAGCACCTGACTGAAGCAAGGTAATTCTCCCTCTCTTTTCCATGTTTTATGCCTCAGCTGAGGGAATTGTTTGTGTTTTGCCTCAGACCTCATTCTTCTGGTGAAGCCAGAGCAGAATGGGTGTGAGCCTCTTCAGAGCATCCCTGTCAAGGAGTTGGCACCTCACTGAAAAGGTGGATCTTAATAAGATCAATCTAATGAAGAAGGTGGGCAATTCAGTCTGGGGCCAATACCTGAATGGGCACACGGTTCAGCTCTGCCACTGTAGTGACTGTCACACTCCTTTGCCTGCTCAGCCCTGAAAAAGGGATTTGCACCCTCCTCTTTCCTTGGGGCTGGCAAATTTGTGTTTTCCAGCAATGTCCTGGAGCACCCATGGCTAAGCAAGAGGTCACAAGCTGTGTAATTTGGGGCTGTTTGATAGTGGCAGGTTGCAGATAACAGAGAGAGATTATTAAGAGAAGTAGAATGCTTAGTTGTCCTTTGCCAGAAGATAAAGGGATCAACCATTATTGCCCTAAAAAAACCTGATCTGTCCCTTCCCTGCAAAGCTTATGTTTTGAGGAAGATGAGTATTGGGTCAGTAGTTACATAGGGATGGCAAGAGGAAGGGAAAGTCCTTCTGTACAGTTCTCCTTCCTCACTGCCAGCCTGGTGCCAGCCTTTCCCATCTTGTAGGCTGCTTTACTGCCCAGGAGAGAAGCAGCAGAGGCTGTGGGATGGAGTGGGGACACAGAGGGGGTCTGATGGTCTCTAAAGTCCCATACCACAGTGGAATGGAGGAGAGGAGGGCCCTCTCCCAGGGATGGATGCTGAGGGAACCTCCACCAGCAAGAGCACGGCTGATCCTTGAGCAGCCCAAAGCCCTCCATCCACTTCCTTCCGCAGCTGCCCCAACCATCCTTCCCTTGTCTGCAGATCCTTCAGTCTCTCCAGCCCCCAGGACTCTCCCTGAGCTCTTGGTCCTGCTATTGCTGGGTCAAATCTCCACATCAGATCACAAACCTAGTGGACAGTAAAACAAGCAGACACTCTGGTCCCAGCCACCCTTCACCCTGAGAGCCCCTGGGTGCCTGTGATGCAGGAGGCACCAGAGGTTTTCTCTCCCTCATCACTGCTCACATCTGGCCAGAAAATGTAGGGGATGGCTCTCCAGGGGCTCTGTGGCAAAGAGCTGCCCCTCCATGAACCACAACAACCCAGGTGGGTATCACTATCAGGGCTGTGTGTGGAAATAATTGCAGGGTTTGGTTGTACAAGCCTGGAGATTTGTGTGCAGCAGCCTCCAGCTCTGCTGGAACCCTGGTGAAGGTCACAGCTCCTTTAGGTTGGCAGAGCTTGGAGAAGGGTGAAGATGCTTCTCTGGATAAGGATGTGGGCAGTGTTCTTCTGTCTGACCTTGATCAAGTATTTCTGGTAAGATATCAGGGATGGGTGAAATCTCCATCCAAGGGGAAAGCAGCACTTTCGGAGTTTTATGGTCAAACTTGGTAGTAACTGAGGAAAAAATCAAATTTCCTATATAGATCATACTGCAATGTGATATGTCATTAACATTGCAATGGAATTTGATGGTGTAGTGAAAGGTCTGGAAGGATTATGGTTTGATATAAAACATTAAACATGCCATAAGTCTTGGAATAAAATAACTGCACAGAGAAGTGCGTGCTATAAGGGAATTTTGAAAATACACATTCCAAAAAATACCATTTTTTGCACCAGTCAGGCCAGGCATTGTTTGTAATGAAGTGAATACTTTTCAGTGTTTCAAACCAACAGAAGTAATTTTAAAAATCCTGGTTGAAGCATAAAGATTTTATTTAATAGCTTTCATAATGACTGAGTGATCATGTTGATGAATTATGGATGGCTTTTTCACTAGGAGTCTGCAACAACAAGATAAGGCAATAATCTATTTCGATGCTTGTGGACATGTATTTGGGATTTTGATTTTTCTAATTTTTTTTAGAGAGTCAGGAAAGATGCATGATTCATTAACAGGTTAGGACAAACTGATAATATTAGGTCTTTTCACCAGTGTCAGGATTCTATTCTTAGTAACACTCTATTAGTAATATTCTCTGTCATTTTTAGTATTTTCTCAAGTATGATTGCATTCAGGCATGACTCAGAAATAACTTAATAGTGAAGATATTGATCAGTGCTCTAAATCCATCTGTAGTCATTTTCATGCCCAATAGACTGGATGATATCTTTTCCAGTAGAGGTTTGAAAGTTATCTTATTGAACAGTAAGCAGGAACATGTCTGGGGTTAAATCAGTTTTTAATTTTTAGGAGTTATTAGTTTGTTTATTAGTTTTTTTCTTAGAGTATTCATGATTAGTAGCTTTTTGCCATCAATTTTGTGTAGTGAGGCAGTAGAAATGGTGATGCTGTGCCATAATGAAACTAATTCAGGAAAATGCTAAAACCAGCATTAAAATATACCCAGTAAAAAAACTCAGCAATGCCTGTATAAGTTTTCTTAATTGCTATTACAGGTAAAAGAATTTGAAACCAGAGAAAACAGCTTTATCCAGAACAGCAGCAAATACAAATTTTCACTGCTCTGAACTGCTAACACACAGCTAATTCATAGCAGCACTGCCATGTGAAGAAACTTCAAATAGTGTCAGCATATAAAAAAAGAAATGAAAAATATATGTGGGCGTGCAGTAACCTCTCTATAACCACACAGGGTCCATAAACTGCTGATTCCCCTGGCAAGAGCTTCAGGGGGGGATTTTCTCCCTCAATCCAGTGTTGCTGTTTCTATGTCTCTTGTCATTTTGGAGATATAGGAAACTGTGACACTGAGTAGTTCACAAAAGACTAACATGACAGAATGTTCTGTATATTTTACAGAACTCTTGTAATCATGGTTGAAACTCTTTTTTGCGAAGTAGATTTCCATCTACTAAAAATTCCTTTCCATTCACAAAGTAAGGTGATATTTTTCTGCTAAATATTCTATTTTTCCAAGCTCTACAATCAATCTCTTTACATTTTATTTTGAACTGTGCAAATGTTGTGTATTTGTGAGTGTAGCAGTTGATTGATGAGCTGCAGTAGCTTTGGTTGGCCAAGTTTGTTAATGTCTATGTGTCTCTGGCTTTTCTCATTTTCCTCATACAGAGAGCTACGGATAGTGACAGGAGAATGGTTTTTTGAAGAGAGAGCAAAGCGCTTCAAACAATCAAATCTTGGAACCGATGTTGTCAGACAGTCCATCCTTCACAAATTCCCAGGTAGGGACCTAAAGAGGGAGTATGTTCAAAACCTTGTTTCTTGAGTGTTTGCTTGTAATTTATTCCTGACTGAAGCATAATCAGTGTTTTAATCCTAATTTTTTATTTGTGGCTATGCAGTGATTTATGAATGAGTAATATTCAGGAAAGGTAAGGCCTATATGAAAAAAGTTTCTCTGTGGAGATAGGGAGCTGCTGAAAAACTCACTGTCCAAACAGGTGAACAGTGTTTTTCAGCTGCAAAGCCCAGCAGAGACTCTGAAAGTTCACTCTCAGTTCCTGCCAGGAAGTTTGGCTGTATGGAGAAATCTCAGCCCAGTTATTTTCTGCCTTTGGCTCTCTTATTTGTGATAGTGGTGTGTAAAAATCACTCAAATTTTCTTTTTCAACTCTGAAGAAGAAAACTAAATTTGAGCTCCTGTGCTCTCTGCTGGATCATGGGCTATATCCAGGCCACCTGGTATTTAGACTTTCCTTTTGCCCAGGTGTCTCAGACAAGCTGCACCTGCACTTTTAGCTGGTGTGTAAAATTTGGGATTTTCCTGAATGCTTATGGTTTGTACTCACTCTGAACACAGAGGATGTTAGGTAGTGTGTTTCAGGTGTAGAATTTATACCCAGTTTTATCCCCTAGCTTATAAGGAGAGGGACTGGTTTACTGCCACTGGAAAAAAAGACATGGTGCAAACTTGCTCCTTGCCAATATCACTGTGCTTCAGAAACTGTAAAAATGGCAAATGTGTAAGTTCTTGGTATTATGTCAGAGGTCAGATTGGATATTTCATGATTTGCTACTTGATGGATATATTGAAAATATATTTAAATATAAGCCATTTTTCCCATATCTTGCTCCTAATTGAACAAACATTTTAATTATTGAAACATTCTTTCATTCAACAGAGAAGATACTGTACATTTCAAAATTAAATATCAGGTCCTTTGGTTACTAAATATTGCCACTGATAAATCTGGAAGTGTAGTTCAAGAAAAGAGTTGATAATGAGGAACATCTCAAGCCAAAGTTTTATTTTATTACAAAGATCCCCCAAGGCTTTTTTTCATTATCTGTTTTTGTAGGTTGTTTGACATGCTGTGTTATTTTTGCAGAAGTTAACTTTTTATTTTCTTTCTCCCTCCACTGCAGACACAGTTTCCAATACAGATGATGAAAGAACATTCAAAGATCAACCCCAAGAGAATGAAGGAAAAAAGCCAGATGTACCAGTCTGCTCCACAAATGGGCACAAACCTGTCTTTGGCAGACCTAGAAAAATTGGGTAAATCCTTTGGTTTTGTAGTTGTTGGTTTTTGTTTTGGTTTATGGGGTTTTGGTTTTTTTGAAAACTGATAAATCTAAAAACAGCTGTATATGGTCGGATAAGATTTTCTTTTGGGGTTTTCCACTCTTCAGCATCAACCTCAAACTTCCCAGGATTAGAAACTGCCTTCATTTAAAGTATATTTACTATAATTGGATTGCTGTTTCCTGGGAAATGCAGCAGCAATTATCCTTCAGATGTAAAGGCAGCAGAAAAAAAGTCAATTTTACTTTTGGATTTTTCTTGTTTCTACTCAGAAGTTACAGAGTGTCCTTACAGGTAGGCTTGCTGGAGAAGCAAATGAAAAAAAGTATTTGTAGGACCTGTTTTTTTTTATGTATACTGGTCAGTTTTGCTCCCAGAAATTCAATCCTACAAAAATTTGGCTTGCTTTTCCTAGTATATTTGGTGGCCTCTTTTAGAAGTATTTCATTATTGTTCCTCTTCCTTGCTTGCTTCTTCCTCCCTCAGGTTCTGCATTTGTGTATCTCATGAGTGGATTTGTTTCAGCAAGGCTCTTTTTGGGCCAGCTGCTACTGACAGTGTAATGGGATGATTTTTCAGTCTATTGTGGTTTGTAAGGTCATGAGGAATACCATTACTTTGAAACATTTAATTCCATTAATTTCTGTCCCATTAGGCCATGTTTTGCAGGATAAGGGGGTGATATGTTTTTTAGGAATGGCACGTTTAGGGCATTTGATGGATATAATTCTAGAAATATCTAAAGAGAAAATACATATAGCATAATTTTCTAGAGGAAAATACACACACTTAGTCAAAAATACTTTCCTAACTATAAACTCCCCCCACCAAAAAAAAAAAGATGAATTTTCACAAAAGGCAGTTCCCTTTCTAAGCTTCTAAGAAGCAATGTTATAGTGTTTTGGTGTCTTAAAATGCAGTTTGTAGTAAATACAGACGTACATAAATACAAAATGTTTTTCTCCCCATAAACCAATTTGATAACCAGATTTGGTGCTCTGTTGACCTTTATATCCAGAGCTGCCCATGGGTTAGATAAAATTACTGGACTGTGCACGTCGCAACTTTGAAAATCTTTTATTCCCTGTTTCCAACAGGAGGGTTATCAGGGCAGTTACCAAAGGAGAAATTACATATGGGAAGGATGAAGGTGAAAGGAGCACAGGCTCAGAGGCTGAAAGCCCAGGTCTGCTGGGAGGCAAATCAGCTCCGTGCTCCCAGAGGTGAGCAGAGGCTGGGGCAGCTCCTGCTGGGACATGTGCCAGTGCCCTGGGCTGCTCTCCTTGGATGCTGTCTGAGAAACAGAGCTTATGTTCCTAAAAAAACCCAAAAAACAGGAAAAACCACCAAACAAACAAAAAAATTATCTCCACTCATCTTATCGTACTCGCTTTGTGTTCAGCTATGTGTCAGTACATTGTATTTGTTTTCTGGCTTTTAATTGATGAGTTGTGTTCATGTTACAGAACTGTGGCTCTTTGGTTTTCTTTACTAATGAAATGTTAATTGATTGCAATTTATGTTTTCTTCTTCAAAGGCTGTTTACCTTTCTCTTTCCATGACTATTGTCCCAGTTATTTTATTATTCTTCTGGGCTTAAGAAATCTCTACTAGTGCCTCTGATGGCATTATAAAATTCCAACAGCAACATTCTTGTCATGTCCTACCTTCAAAATGAAGCCAAAAAGCAGCTCACTTCCCTTGTTCAGTAGGACAGCCTACACTGGATATAGACCCACATTCTTTGCTTAGCTACACACACCTAGAAATTTTACAGTTTGGATTAACAAAATATCAACAGTTTGCTATAATAGCAGTTTCCTGTATCTAAACTAGTGTTTCCAAAGAGATATGCAGGAACAAAGGATAGCAAGCAAAAGCAACATCATGGAGTTTAGTATGCACATAGATAAACCTTCTTGTTCAAGCAAGAACTTGCTTCTCTTTGGTACCTACAATTCAAATCCCAGTTTCTAGATGTTCTGCAATATGCCTTAAGCTGATGGTGACAATCTTCTTGACTTCTTGTTTATAATTTGATTTCTTTTTTTTTTTTCCCCACAGGGTGCTGCAGCACCTGCCAGCCAATCCAGCTTTCAAGATAGCTGTGTTCTTTAATCCTTACAGTTCACCTTTTTTTTTTTTTCACTAAGCTCATTAGACCTTCTATATCTCACCAGACTCATACCTGACTTCTATGAGACCAGAAGTAGATTTTCAGCAAAAATCTCATGTCTACTCTGCATTTTCATTGAATAGAGTAGACATGAGGGAAGGATCTAAGAGACAAAACCTTGGGTGTCCATGCTGCTTAATACAAGATTATGCAATATTAGTAGCTTTCTCTGATATTTTACCAGGATAAGGACAAAGGGATGCTTGTGAGAGGTCTGTGCAGCTCTTTTTGTGTGCCAAACTACAAGAAAGTTATCATGCAGTTTACCATAAATTAAGCAAAATAATTTTGTTTGGGTGGTGGAATTCAGCACCGGATAAACTCTCTGTACAGATATAGGAGTGAAGTAGTCTAGAAAGACAGATTTTATGTTTGATTGCCTTGCATCACTTTCACATAAACAATCATTTTCTTGCTGTTTCCCAGAGTCAGAGTGCAAGACTTGTTAAATTAGGGGTATTGAGTCATTATGACAACTTCTTCTCTACTTGTCATCTCATTCTCACCTACTGAAATTGGAGTCCTGTGCCAAAGCCCAGAGCAACATTGTCAAAATTGGTAGTATTTCACCTACCAGCAGGGAAACCAAGAGAGAATTCTTATTATTTTTTAATGTTTCTGTTTAAGAAAAGATGTATTGATCTGGGAACAGGGAAACTCAGCCATGACTTCACCTCTTCTCCAGGTTTATTTCTACTCCAGCAAAAATATTTGCTGCTGAATGCTGTAAATGTTTTTGCTGCTGAATGAACCGGGAGGCTGCATCAGGTGATGTTTCTAGATGAAATAGTGTGGGAATTTTAGGCTCATTTACACAGGCACTCAGGTCTTGTCTACCAGGAGGAGAAGCCTGGCACAGTCATAACACCATTTTTCTGTTGTCTGCTTAACATGTATAAAATGTGTCAAATCTCTCTCTAATAGCAGACAGAAATAAGAACTAAGGACACATTTTTAAAATAATTTTCACTGTTTAAAAAGGTTTAAAAAGGGCAACAGATTTCCCTTTCTATCCCTCAGTGTTCACATGAGTTTACAAGTATTTTCTAACAGAAAATGTTCTGTGGAAAAATTTTCACCTGTTGTGATGTTAGACAGAAACTGAGATCTGATGTGCTGGACATAGATGATTTTTTTGTCACTTTTACTAATGCAAAGCTTCCAAGAAGACCTGTCCAACCTTCCTAAATTTCTACATTGATTTAAAGAATCAACTGGTTAGGGTCTAGAGTCATAACTGGACACCAAAAAAACACATATAAACAGGACAGTGAGTGAGTGGGTATTTTTCTGGAGATAGATGGATAGATAGATAGATGGATGGATGGATGGGTGGGATAGATAGATAGATGGATGGGATGGATAGATAGAAGGGATAGATAGATATAGATAGATAGGTGGGATAGATGGGATAGATAGATATAGATAGATAGATAGATAGATAGATAGATAGATAGATAGATAGATAGATAGATAGATAGATGGGATAGATAGATAGATATAGATAGATGGGATAGATAGATGGGATAGATAGATGGGATAGATGGATAATAGATGGATGGGATGGATAAATAGATAGATAGATGGATGATGGATGGATGGGATAGATAGATATAGAGATACACAAGGATTTTAGAGTTTCTGGAGGTAGTGCTGGCATTAAATTAGCTGTAGAAGTGTCCAGAAGTGTCACATTACTGTAGTTTTCCTTGTCACAAGTGGAACAGCCTGGTAGGAACGGCTGCATGAGTTGTCCCTCCTCTGTGGGAATCCAGGGCTTCCCTCTGGCTGCCCTGGCAGGTCTGGGACCCTGGCAGGGGGTCAGGAACCCCCCTGTACAGAGCCCCCAGAGACACTGTCTGTGATCTCTGTCCATGGAGAGGAGTTTTCAATCTTACAGGATGAATTACAAGCTTTGAGTGTTTGATAAGAGTAATAATTAATTGTGACACAGGTGCAAAAGTAAAATTTTAGATTTCTAGATTAGGGGTTCAGAGGGGACAAGATGGAGGAATTGGGTGTGTCTTGTCCTTTTCCTCCTTCTTCATGCCCTCCATGTTTCACTGTGGTGTTGGCATTTTTCTATTGGTTTAGGCTGGGAACACACTGTTTAACGTAGATGACAGATATTGGCACATTATTGTAAATATAGTACACGTAATTTCTGGTATATAATGTTTGTACCATCCCACTGAGGGGCAGAGCCCCACACGCTGCCCTGCAGGACAGAGCTGCGGCAGGGCAGCAGAACATGTTAGAGATAAGCAAAAATAAACAACCTTGAAAACAGCACAGAAGAATTATGGCTTCTTCTTTGGCAACAGGGCAGAAAGACAGAGACTTTCTACAATCTCGGAATCACCAATACCCACAGATTCCGACACTCCTCCAGCTGGATGTGAATGCAGTGTGGGTTGAACAGGGACAAACACAGCTCCTGCAGCCTGGACAAGAGCTGCCCGTTTAGGCCATCTGCAGTCCTGCTAGAAGCACTGACAGTACTTGTATGACTTGTATGTGTAAAGCAACTGTAATTCATCTTTGCCTGTGTTTTTCCTTTCCAGGTGATCCCCCAGCCCATCAGGGCTCTTTTGCTCTCATAAATTAGCGCATCCCTGTCCTGGCAGCTGAATGAGCTGCCTTGCTTAGCTCAGAGCAATAACCCTTCCCTCCTCTGTCTCCACCGCAGAGGGAGCACGCTTTCCCTGGGCAGCAGCGGTGCAGGGGCTGCTGCAGGACATGCAAGGGGCAGAGGCAGCGCTGCCCAGGCTTCCCGGCCGCGCTCTCCCAGGCGCAGCATGACCGCGGATTGCAGCGGGGTAAGGGCTGGGCACCGAGCAGGGCACCGGGCTGGGTCTGCCCCGGGAGGTTGGTTTGCAGCACAGCAAGGATGAGCCTGACACCGAAAATCCCATTTCTGCCTCACTTCTGCTGTGGAGATCCCTGCCAGAGCAGAGCTCCTCGTGCTCTTATCAGTGATGCGGTTTTTGGTTTGGCAGGCATTTCTCTGTTGCCTAAAAATGGCTGTGGATGTCCAGCATTAGATAATGAGTCACAGATCTGAACTGGGAGGCACAAGGGATGGGAACAAGCATTTTTTGGCACTTTGGAGCCTTGAGTAAATGCTGTAAAATAAGGATGTGACTTCCAAGCATGCACAATCTAGCATTCTCCCACTGACTTCTAAGGGGAATTTTGCAAGTCCAGCACTTGCAGAAAATCAGGCCAAACTGATTTTAGTTTTTTCCTGGATTTGGACACTGGGCTCTGCAAAAATAATTCTATAACACAAAATGTGTGATAAACACATTATCAGAACAATTCCTGTCATGTGCTCTTAAGCCTCTTGGGGAGTGTTTACCATTAAAGTTTGGAAAAAAAGGTAGATAAGTGTTTAGACCAGAGCCCTGTTGAACACATCAACTTTCTTTCTAACTTCCAGATACTTGGTCTAATATGTTGTCTTTCCTAATAAAAAAATAAGTTACTGTATATGAAGAGCAATTTTGGGAGCTGTAAATGAATAGTTGTTTTATTGATATTCTTGTCGGCACATAGACTGACTTGTTTTCAAGTGCATTAGAATTCTTTTAAAAATCCATTTAATTTAGATGGAGTTATGTTATTAGCTTTTCTTTTACAGGTAGGCAAGAGGTCATAATGATATCAAGGATATTGGCATTATTTAACGGGTTTTACTGGCATAATCAGTTCAAGTGCATTTGGTTTTGCCCTGGCTGAAATCATTATGCTAGTACAAAACCCATAGGTTTTGTCTTTTCTTTCTTTTTTTTTTTTTGATTTCTGAGTTGAGTGAGCATCTAATAGATTATACTTCACTCCGATTCTTCAGCTGCAAACTCAGAATGTAAGCAAGAATTGCATCTTTGTGCTAATTTTATGCATCATCAGTGCTAAGCAAAGCAGATTATACTGGAATCTAAATATATTCAGTAATGGACTGGATGTTAAAGAAACTTTGGGGTTCTGGAATTTAATAGAAATTATGCTTTTATAAACTAATAGTGAATAAACTTAGATTTTGTATTTATGGCTTGTGCATTTTTCCTCTTGGGCAGGACACAGGCTTGGAAAATGACATGATTATTCCAGCAAGTGAAAGTGTACCTGAAGATTTAGTAAAGAAGCACTGCAGGAAACCATCTGGAACACCTTCCATTGCAGTTTCTAGGATATCTTTGTCATCGGGCAAGTATTAAGTCTTTTTCTTCTTTCTGGCAGCCTTTATTATCAGAGGATTATGCCCAGTCTTGTGACTCTGCTCCTTTTGTTCTTAAAACATGTTGAAAGACCAAATGTTAGTTTCATAAACTTCTGAAAACACTTCCCTTTAACTAACCAAGTTCATACCCCTTCACAAGTTTTACATTAAAAATGGGAATCCTTTCCCCAGAAACATTGGTATTGTTAGGTAAATCACATTCTCTTAGAGTTGTTACAAGGTTTAATTCACAAATGCATGTTGTTCAGTCGTTCTCTTTGTGCTCCTCTGTATGAAATACTGCCTGTGTATAATATTACTCTGCTGCTGCCATTACATTTCACACACACTCTGCCCAGAAGCAAATTTGGGAAACAATGTTTGGTCAGAGAACAAACCCCTGACAGACTTCTTATCTGTTAATTTTTATATGTGATGCTCTGAACAAGTCAATCCATCTGTAATTTACCTCATTCCATTGGAGGAAGGGCTCACACAGGAAGGTGCTGTCACAGCCACTTCGCAGTAGTGGATGGAGATCCTCTTTTTCCTCTCTGGAATGGGAGGCAGGAGCATCCTGCACTCTTCTGCTTCCCCCAGGCACTCGGCTTCCTGCAGGGCTGATGGAGTGGTTTGGGTTTACAGCCTTCTCTCTGAAACACAGCAGGGCTCACTCTATTGTGGCTGGATTTAGCCCAAAGCAGAAACCCAGAGGTGTATCCCACAGAGCTAATCCAAGGAGGAAATGTTCTTTACCTCAGACATTTCAGCTTGGAAGTGTCAGAGTTTCCTGGAGTTCAGTGCAACTCCAGGCAGAGATGTTACAGATGGCTACTTATTTAGGAAGTAAAAATTCTTCTGTTCCTGCTACCTTACAAAATAAAAGTTTTCCTGGTAGCTAAGAACTGAATTTGTGTTACCAAAGCAGGTGGATGCTGAGCAAAACTGTAGGAAACTTGGGAACAGGCCTCAGACTCTGCATTTTTCTCTTTGGCAGAACTCAAAGGGCATTAAGCTCAGGAGGGTGCCCTTTCCTGCCACATCAGCTTTAGAGCTGGTAGATGAAGAGTTAAAAACCTTTCAGATTCCTACCTGCAGGATCTAAAAGCAGTCTCTTCTCCCACTTCGCTTTCTAAATATATTGAAACAGTCACACAAAAGACTTGTATGGGGAGGACTAGGAGGCCTTGGAGAAAGATTTTCTATGTCTTATGCTACAGAGTGGATGAGAGACCTGTAAGACTGGAGAAACTGCTGGAGCTCTTGAGACTAATTGTTTCCTTCTAATTTCTGCACCAGGCACACTGTTAATGACAGAAGTACTTTCTACATCCATCTGTATCCCCAGCTGCTTCATTTTGATGCAGATGCTGGGGAGATTTTAGTGGTGGTGGTGGTAGATGTGACAATCCTGTGAGTTTTGCAATATTCCAGGTTAGCAGGCCTACCAGAGAAGGTCAAAATCTTGATGATCCACAGAAGACATTCAGCGTAGATAAATAAATAAACAAATAAACAAACAAATAAATAAATAAATAAATAAATAAATGTTTGTTTGTTTGTTTACAGGGGTAAAATTATTGCCCGGAAGGCTGAGCAGCATCAGAAAGCATATTTCTTCCTCCATTTATCAGAGTGATGTCTAGTTGCCATAGATTTGACAGATAATTAAAATATTGTTTTAATTTTTTTGATTAAAAAAACATTGGGGTTGGGACAATGGTTGTATGGAAGATAAAATGGAATATTTCTGTACAAACTATAGTAAATATTTAAATTGTTTTTGTTTCCCAGACCGTAGCAGATCTGAGATAGATTTGAGTGAATCTTTCTCTGAAGGAAATGAAGATACCCTGAGCATAAGAAGCAAATCTGTACCTAGTGCCTTAGATCAGGAATTGGTGAGTTATAAATATGTAAATGTTCATCTGGTGGAAATTCTGTTTGTTTGGACCAATGAAATCAAGACTATATGTGTATCTATATAAAATATGGGTAAGGCAGGACATTCTTTAAGGGATATTTAATGAGTTTTTTAATAGTGTCATCTTCTGAGTATGTTTGCTGTAGAGTGATTTCAATGAACAGTCATGGTTCCAATTTGTTGTTAATTTGCTGGGTGTTTAAGTTCACAGATGAAAGAAACCTAGCCTGAAAATAAATTCCAGGCACTAAATTGCACATGCTCCAGAATTCTGTTAATTCATATTTGCGTAAGTTTTAATTTTGATGATGAGAAAGTTCATAGTTTAAAGGCTTTAATCTTTGTCTGGTTTGGTTTTCCATTTATCTCTATTTTTTTGCAGAAAAACCCAACGTTCTCTTCTGGCAGTGTTGCTTGCCTCATCTTCCTGTTGACTCTTCCATACATCTCCATGGTTTCTTTTGTGTATTCTATGGACTGCTTTTCCTGAAGTGATTCACAACTTCCATCTCCTCTTATGCACATATCCAAGACAGGCAATCTGCAGATGTGCATCAGTGCTATAAAAGAATATCCAAGCTTATTAAATATGCATGGGAGGAGGAAAGTGATTTAAATAATTCTTCATCTAATCACAGTTTATTCTAAAGTTTCCAAATGTGTGCTGGTAACTTCTGCATTTGGCCTGTTGTTGTAGTCCCACCCTTCCATCTGCTCTTTCCAGAAGAGCATTGGCCATGGCAGATGTTTCCCCTTCCTGAGGTATTGGAATTTGAGTCTTGGTGGAAAATCATGTGTTGGGATTTCCATCTTTTCTTGGATTAGTAGCAGTCAGAGAATATGTCTGCAGCATTGCTTTGGGTTGATATTTGAGGAATTAACAAAAGACCTTCCTGTGTGTCACGTGTTGGTGGAAGAAAAACCTTAAAAATAAGTGGTTTATTTTTAAATTGTAATACGGAAAAATGATGCATTCTTTATTAAGAAGCTGGAAAATAATGCAGAAGAAAAGCACAAAAAAAAATGCAGACCTTGTATTTTTTTATATCTGTTCTCTGCTCTACTTGAGTTACAACTTAGATATTTTTCTGAGGCAGCTGCCAGAGATGACAAATCCAGAGAAAATGCAAAGGATTCCCTTCTTTGAATTTTCTCTTCTTAATCATAGATTTTGTTTTGGATTTCTTTCTTGCTGACTCTGAATGAAATTTCAGATTGCATCTCTGCAACTCTGCAGCTTCTTTGCTAGCACAGGAGATTTCTCTTGTGGCATAAACTTGATTTAGCTGCTCTGGAGTCTGGTGCTAATTCCCTTTAAAATTAATTCATAACAGGAGTCACAGATGTCTGATTTTACCCATAACCTCACCTTCTCTGCCTTATGAAGTGAACTGATTGCATTCATCAGCTTTTGTGTTACCATATTCATTTAGGGTAGTTTGCCTCACAGGAGCCCTTCAGAGTCTTGTCCCGTATTCATTATGGATGCAGTGGTTTGAGGTAAAAGCTGTATTCCTGCTGGAATTTAGTTTATTTGATGTAAGAGACAAAAAGAAAAGTATGTGATGATGGTAACAACATCTCCTGCAGCCTAAGAAAAGCTGGAGTTCCACCTCCTTTTCTTTTAGCTGAGGTCCTTCAGTCTCATTCCTGGGTGATGGGAGCTGACAGCAGTGGTATGGGAGATGCCACATGTCAATAGGATATGCAGATTGCTGGAATTTATCAGCTGAAAGGATGGGAAAAAGCTTTTGGTCACTTTGCTCCACCTTTTTCTGGGAAACCCATTACCCATACTGAGAAATCAGCAGGAAAATTGAATGGATATTTTGCTTCTCTGACTTCGTATTGCTTTTGATAATGAAAAAGGACAAGCCCCAAAACCCACATGATGTGGTACAGATTAATCAAGGAGCATGGGGAATCAGCTAAATCCAGTGTTGTGTTCAAATGTGAGCACCTTCTCTACAGAGGTGTGTGTTGAATTCCTGACCAAGTGGTGCTCATTGCATGCTCAGCTGCTGTTTTAGGAGTAATTGGATGATGTGCACTTTATAGCCCCCACCGGAGACCATGAGATTAATATCCTGCTAGCTCCTACTTTAATGAGCTAATAACACCAACCAATTACATAGTTGCAATTTTGTAATAACTCCTGAGAAATCCAATGGTTGTGGTGCAAAATGAATTTAGAGAGTAAGTTAAATAGCAACCTTTCTTTTTAAATTTTAGATTTCTGCTTGCAGCCAAAAATTCAGCAGTTAGGACTCAGTGAAGCAATGTTAGAATTTGAGTGTCTAGATCTGAAACACCCAAATCTGAAATTGTTGCCTTGCCTTTTCCCCCGTGTTTAATTATTCTGCAGTAAAAATGTAGCATTGTTTATTTTCAAGTTTACTGATATGCATGCAACAGTATAAAAGAAAGAGTTTTTCATGTATAGAATTGCTTCTTCCTGCTCCATAGGCAAATAAGAAAATTGTATTCTTGTTCCAAATTTAGAACCAGACTACATCACCTGACACCTGATCTTAATGAGGGGAATAGAAATTACAGGTGGAGTGGTTTGTTGGGTTTTTTTGTTTGTTTGTTTCATTTCAGGTTTTTGGGAGATTTTACTTTTGAATTATTCACCTGTCTCCCTCAAATAGTTTGCTCTGTTGTGCCCAGGTCTCCAAGGGTTTTTCCTTTCATTTAGTATAAAGTATCTATTACTTACTTTTTTTTTTTCCTGTGGGGCACTGTTAGAAAATTAAGAGACCAGCAGAGCAAGCTCATGGTAAGAACATGAAACTGTTTTCTTCAGTATATAAATTTTGGTGATAGCTTGTTCTGATTTAGCTCTGCACAATGTTACATATGCAGTAACAACTGGAAAGCAGTAATAGAAAATCACTTTTAGGTGGTTTCATATCAATTCAGTCACTGGAGCAAAGGAGAAAAGATGTAACAGCCAGTTTTAGGTAAAGTATGGCAAATGTGCTGCAAGTTTTTTAATGTAAACTGTGAATTCAACTCTCCAGTAGCATTTCCCCCTGCTCCTTTTTTTTGCTGATTAGCACAGAAGTCCTTGAGACTCCTGAATTTGAATACAGTATTTCTCTGTTCAGTTTCAAAGAGTGAGAGCAACTAAACAATATAGAATGAGGTGGGTCAAAAGGTGAAGCTTTTATAGCTGCAAAGCAGATATAAGGAACTTGAAAATCTGACTTCCATTAAAATTAAAAACAAAGTCTTCCAAAATATGCCTGCCATAAGGCTTAGGGAAACACAGATTTCCAGGCTATGCCTAATAGGATTATAATTGTCTGCTGGTATTTTTTCCTGTTATTTTAAGTAAAAGTTAAGAGTCCCATTAGGACCATCAATCACATCTAAAGATTTAGTTTAGATTTTACTTAATTGCTGTGTTTAAATGAAGATTTTTTTTTCTGTATATAGCTTTAAGATGTTAAACTTCAGTCTTGCTTATTAAAACTCAAGCATCTATATGAAGCTATGCAATTACTGATTTTCCACCTTTTTATTATTAATACAATACAGAAATTTAATTACTTTTTAAAATGCTTGTGAACTGGCTTGATATAAGACATGAAGTGTATGTGTGAAGATTTTCAGTGCTTAAACAATTGAATCCTGAAACCACAGCTGTCTCTTCCCTTTATGCTCTGTATCTGTGCAAAGATGTGGAAAATGTGAACCAAAATTCCTTTAGAGAATAGAAATTGAGTACATCATCTTCCTAAAGTGGAAATGTTGTGAACCAAAATGAAGTGACAGAGGTTGACAAAATACACTGCAGAACACAACTAAAATGCTTGTTTGTCATTTAGGGCTATCTGGATGAAACAGAAGAAGATATTGATGACATAGTGGCCTCTTGTTATCCAAGAAAGCATGAACAAATGACAAGTGGATTATCAACAGTAAGATCTCGGGTAGAAAACATGCACTGTCCTTCCACAAAAGACCATATTTCCTCCAGAAAGGAATTTATTTCATATCACGTATCACATTCATCTTTCATTCTGCACTTGAGAAACATCTTTTAACATTAAGACAGACTTTCTTTTATATTATTAATGCTGCTCAAAGCTAAAATGCTGTTCTCTGCAGGGCATGGAAAGAGAAAACTATTTTGCATACTCATTAGCAGACTTCCTCATATGCTGGGGTTATTACCAAGCTTCCATGTGGAGAAGGCAAACCAGAGGTGTTTGCAGTGTGTGACTGCTCAGCTTTGCAGAGGAGCACTTGATCTTAATTAAATGAAACAAAGAGAACAAGGCTGTGAAGGGAGGGGTTCCTTCTCAAACTACTCTGTATTTTTTTAGAGACAAAAACATTTGGGACACAAACATTTGTCTGTGTGTTTGCACACAACCCACTTCCATGGAATCATTGTCCATTCTCCAACTCAGTTTCTCTCATTCTTCATGGCATGATTGCTACCCACATCTGGAAAGTATTTCCCTTTACTGCAGGGGAGAAGAATTAAGAATCCCCTAATTCTTGAGGATTAGGTTGGTGAAAATGAAGGTGTAGCTGCACCTGATGGTAGCAACAAAATTGGCAGAAGTTTCTGCTGTTCATTATGCAGTCTGTTATTCACTGGGAAAGAAAACAGATAATAAAAGCATCCTTTAACCTGTCTAGTTTATTACCCTCTGCTGAGTACCTCATTTTTGGGATCTGTGGGCAGCTGATAATATCTTCAGAGAGTCCTCTCTGGCCACTCTTCTTTATGGCTTGTGTGTAAGAATAGCTCTGGACTGCACAAAGCTGCAAGAAACTCTATATAGAGTGTGTGAGTGCTGAAGAGGATGAAGAAAGATGAGTTTGAATACTAAGAGAGGAGAAAATTAGGTCTATGACAATAACCAAAGAACTGTCCTTTCTAGATTGCACCCCAGTGAAGCTCTTGACCCCAAAGAAATGGAGTTGGCTGAACTTGAGCTTGGCTTACACGGGGAGGAGAAAGGGCTGAGAATATTGACATCACAGAGCATTTTGAAGTTTTAGATCTGGCTGTGTCAGACCATTTCCCCCTCTGATTTTTGTAGCTGACAGAAGCAGACACAGCAGAGAGTGCAGCTCACACCAGGTCAGAGCTGAGCACCTGCAGCCTGTGCACGCTGGGCTAATTACACTCACTTGGCCCAGGCTGGCAATGGCTCACAGCCTCCAATGCTTGCTAGTCCTGGGGGTTTTATAGACAGAAGAATTTTCATTTCCTCTGAATATTGATAGGAGGATTGCAGGGGCTCAAGTGTTTTCTCTGTTAGGTCATTAATTAAGGAACTGCATTTAGAGATCCTTCCCTCTGTGCTTCAGGCAGCATTCTGTCCATGTGCTGGGTTTTGTCCTTTGCTGTAGATTTCCCTCTGACCTTTCTCTTAAGCAAAGTGCAGCTTTCCCAGGGCTTGAGACAATCTCACATCTCAATGCTCCCATCTCTCTTATTCACCATGACATGTTTTTTAATGTCACTGCATGCAATGTTAATGGCAAAGTTGTGAATGGCCAGCTGCTTCTCCCTGCAAGAGAAGGGCAATTTTACAGGTTCATTTCTTTATTCCCCTGAAGTGTGTTGCTAACATTTCCCCATCATATTTTTACCTTCACTTTGATTGTTTTAAGCCTTTAAGCCCCCTGGCACAGTATGTTTTTTTATCCTGTGCTATCAAATCACTATTAACTATTGTCACATTGAAATAATGTTATTAATGAACAGTAGACTCATAACTGTATGATCCCTTTCCCTTTCCCTTTCCCTTTCCCTTTCCCTTTCCCTTTCCCTTTCCCTTTCCCTTTCCCTTTCCCTTTCCCTTTTCCCTTTCCTTTTGAAATAAGTATAGCTAGTCTTACAATGAATATTTGGGGAAAAGAAAGAGATATCACAAAGGGTAAAAGACACTTGAAATCTACCTGCAACATGAATGAGCTAAAATAGAAATGGAAAGTGACATTGAAGAGAAACTCAGTGTTAGTATTTTATTTAGTGTTTTCCCAATGCTATTGCATGAAGTGTGAGTTTAGTTTTCTCTTCATCCTTCATCCTCCACATCAGTGAGACTAAAATGTTCCAGTGCTTTACTGCAGCAAAAAGATATGATGCAAAACAAATATAATTCTTAGTGAGGTGTCAAAATGAGACTCTGTCCTTTGTATGTTGTTTGCTGCTTACTAAACAGGAATATGAGTATTCTTCTTTGGGATTTTACATTTAGTGTATACAATGTCCAGTGTAAATTCTACAGAACAGAGTCTGGGAGTAGGGGGCAAAAAGTGAAGTTTATCAACATTTACTAAATTTGTATACTTTTCTTCATGGTTGGCAAGCAATTCAGAAATTGTGTTTGCATAAATTCAAGGGTCAGGTACCACCTATTTGTTTCAGACCTTCTATCATGGCTTTTTTTATTTTTTTTTTTACCCCAGCCATTTATCCCTTCCTGCCTGCTTACATAAAGATTGAGAAAAAAAGGATTTAGATTAGAGAGAGAAGAGTTTGGAGTAGAAAACCTCATCCACCTCCTTGTATTGGTATAACATTGGGGTCTTTTCTGAAGTGGGCATAAAAATCCTTGTAGGGATAATTTATACATTTTTAGCACATACTGGACTGGTTAAGTTCCCTAACAGTGTAAAAGGATATTTTTATGTATTTTAGAGGTGGAAAATGTATAAATGGTAAAGGCTGGAATTTAGCTCAAGGCATGTTAGAAATTGGAGGAAATATGTCCCATTGGTTGGTATGTTGATAATGTTGATAATTCTCCAGTGATTTTAACCAGTTAATGGAATTTCAGACAATTATAAAAAGAATTAAAAGGACAATCATTGTTCTTTTTTTTTTCTTAATTAAGGATAAAGCCAGCCATCAAAAATATATCAAAACCATTTTTTTTTTTTGCTGTTTATTTTTCCTACATGGGGTATAAAATTAAATTTATGGGTAATAATTGCTTATGTATAGAACACTTTTCCCTATCTGTTGTTGTTTATGACACTGACACAGAAGTGCTTATCCCTGGAGCCTCCTGTGCTGCAGGGGCCTTGGTCAGGGTGTTGGGAGAGGGGTTTTGTCACAAACCAATTCCTTCTCTGTGGCCCTTTCTCTGGACTGTGCTCTTCCCTGCAGCTGGCAGGGAAGGAGATGGATCAAGACACAGTTCAGGAGAGCTCTGGCAAGCAGAGGAGGAAAAATGTGTCCCCAAATCATGAATTCCATTTTTTTTTTTTTCCCAGAGAGTGACATGTTTCAACATTTTAGTGCAATTTTCATCTGTTCTTACAAACTCCCCAGAGAAACTGCCCCTTCTCACAAAGGCACTGATGCTGCAAATAGAGGAATGCTTGGCTTTTGACTGGCTTCAGGGAGGAGTGACATGGACATGTAAATGAGAACAAATCCAATGTAATCCAGTATTAATCCAAACCTGCTGAGCTACTGTTCTAAAATATACCTTGTTTATTTTGATGCACAGATGACCTCATTTCTATGTAACTTCTTTGAACTGTGCATCCTTCAATGATTGAAGTGTATGGAGAACAGCATTTCTCTGATTTGGTGATACCTTTTTCTTTCTTTCTTTCTTTCTCACTATGGCTTTGCAATACAAACTTTCTTTACCTTTCTATACAGATGAAGATTTCTCACTGCACTTACACTTTCTTATTGCCGCAGTCTAATGTTCTTTTCTCTTGATCTTTTGCACTGCCTTCTTTAAAGAACTCCCCAGAAGGTTCTGACAGAAAATGGACATATTTAAATGTTCCTGAAGCAGATGGTGATACTGTGAGTTCTCCTGAATCCTCTGCTCTAGCTTACTTTCAAGGTTTCTCTTTCCTTTCTCCCTTTTTGTTGAAGACTGTACCTGGGTGTCTTGCAAAGTTCCTGTGTGTCAGAATTTAGGTGGTTATATGTTTTGGAGCAATCTTGTCCAATGACTCAAAAGGAAATGCACACCAGATTTCTCAAATATTTTTGAGAAAGTGTGGATATTTTTCCAGTTTTCTTTAAAAATATTCAGTTCTTTCCTAATTGTAAACTTCTGGAAGAGGGAATCCCCATAGCAGTACACTGCATTATATGAGTGTGAAGGAAGAGGGATTGAGGGATGATATATTATGCTGTACAAGAAAAAATGGTGGTATTATTGAATTATTTTTTTTTTTAATTTGAAAAATATGTAGAAAGGGGGTGAGGGTTGAATTTTGCTTCTTCTTTTAGAATTGTTAATGAGTGACAGGTGCCACTTTAAATAAAGATGGTTTTATGCTATCTCCATTATGGGAATGTAAGTTTTCCTAAGGGCTCTGTCAGCAGTTGTCTTATGAGACTCAGTAAAAATGAGGTGACCAGCTGAGCCAGAGAAGTATTTTTACTTCTTTTAGAAGAAGACTTTTAAATTATTTTTTTTCTGCTTGGGTCTTACATAAGCTTGCAATTTAGCCTGTCTGCTCTTCAGTCCATATATTAATTAAAAGGTGGTGATTTGGATTCTGTCACATTTATAAATAGGTTTGAGTCTTGCATGGAATAACATCTGTCTAGACATTTAAACTACTATTAACTACAGTACTTATTCCCTTCACATCAAATCATGGCAATTCTATTCTATGATTTATCTGTTTCCGTAACAAGTCCTAAAAAGTGTGACACTATTGTAAGGCTGTAGCTTTATGAAAAAAACAAAACAAAACAAAACAAAACAAAACAAAACAACAAAAAAAACCCACAAAAGTAGATTTTGGGAAAAAGTAAAGTGTTTCAGCCTCTGAGCCCTTTTTCTGTGCCCCTCCAGACAAGCATAAACAGCATGGTGAGTGTTTACAGTGAAACTGGTGACTATGGCAACGTGAAGGTCAGCGGGGAAATCCTCCTCAGTATCAGCTACATCTACAAAACAGGTGCCCTGAACATCCTGGTGAGGAGCTGCAGGAACCTGGCCATTGCAGACGAGAGGAAGCAAAGGACTGACCCGTAAGAACTGAGAATTTCCTTCAGCCCTGCTGGGTGTCCCCAGCACATCCCACCCTGGATGCAACCAGAGCTTGGGATTCAAGCCTGGGAGTTCACAGCATCCAGCTGGTACCAGCAGCATTTTGGTTTGGGTTCCCTGTGGGAAGGGCATCTCCTGTGTGCTTCTTAAGGCAACATGTACCCTTTCCAGGGAAACAGTAAGATTATTTGAATTACCAACCTATTTGATACTAAAAGGGAAAAAAATTATGAAGGAATAGCCAGGCAGCATCTAGTTTCTTTTACTTCTATAATCAAAACTGAAGTATATGAGAGGAACGATGTTCTGGAGGCAAGGATTAATGGAAATAACTTTGTTTTCATGGGCCCATACTCTCACTTTGCAAGTACCACATTTTCTGAGTTTCTCATCATAGTATTCAGTGTAATGTGTAAACTCTCTCATCAGAAAGTAATGATAAGTGTCTCTAATCATGGTTAATCTATGGTATATAAATGATGAAGTTTGTAATTCTATTGTATATTTTGTCATATGTGACCAGTTGGTAATCATATAAGGCAAAAGGGAAGTTGTTAGCAAAGCTTGTTACATTTCAGAGGATAAACAAATTAATTGAGCTCTGCCTTTTTTTATTCTGACCCTATCTGACTTACACCACTATGTTTGTAGGTAAGGGCCATACCTCTCCATGTTTTACATATTCTGTTACATGTTTACACTCTTTATACTGCAAAAATTAATTTCCTCATATGTGTTGCTGATGCAGCAATGTCAGGCCTTTGCTGACATTGGTCATTTTATTTTCCTTGCTAACCCTTTGCTCCTCGCTCTGCAGATATGTCAAAGCCTACCTGCTGCCTGATAGGTCCCGCCAAAGCAAGCGCAAGACCAAAATTAAAAGTAACAGCACCAACCCAGAATTTAATGAGACACTGAAGGTGAGAATTGTCTCTCTCTCAAGCTCTGATGAATGTTTCACTTGTGCTCACAGGTATTTTCCATATGTGTTCCAGTACAGGGATTAGAACTTGGGAGAAATGCCTCAAAATGGAAGGTGTTTAAGCAAAAGCATCTAGAAAACCTATAAACTGCAATTTGTGGCTTTCAGCATTAGGGAAGTGGTTTTGTTTGGTTCTCTCCTTTACAGTTAAAAATTCCATCCGTTTCCATAGTTCTCTTTCAAAACTTGATTTTCCCATCTAGTCTGAGCTTAGAGTTGTTAAAAGCATCTTAAAGATTTTATATGCCTGATGCTGAAACAAAGCTAGATTAGAACTTCCTGTCTGATTTAGAAAATAACATTTTGCAGTTAGATCTGAATTCTTCTGGGAGGTTTAACTTATTTCTAAAGCAGAACATACTTTGATAAGAAAATGTTAGCATCTACTTCACTATTTGACCTCTTAAAAACCTGTGGTGAAGTTGATTTTCTGTTGCAATGGGCTTGATGTGCTTGAGGACACAGTGCCCACAGCTCTCTCTTTCCTCACCCTTTACCCACCCCTACCAGAGAGGTAGGGGTGGGTAAAGCCCAGGTTTACCCAGGTGGGTAAACCTCCTGAGCCCCTCCCAAGCTGCTTGTTCACCTCCCTGCCTCTGTGGAGCAGGTGGGAATGGAGGGGTTGCTGCCCCTTCACTGCCTCTCCAGCATCCTGACCTGAAGGCTCCTGATGATTCCCTTTCCTACCAACTGAAAGGAGTCATCCAGCAGGCTACCATGAAACCAGTTTCTCCTGAATTTTTTTTTTCTTAATTTCAATTACATTTTAAATAAGTTTCTTATAATAGAAGCAAATTGATGTTCCCTGGCTGGTGTACTTGGCTTAGCCTGGCTGCAAAACCATTTTGCAGGCGCACACACTCAGTCTGCTTGCCAAGGGAGAGACTTTTTATAGCCTCATTTTTAAATGGTATAGAGTAAAATTAAGGCTTGCCTGAACTGGGAACAAATAAAGTATTAGGCTTTATTTATCAAGGGATATAGCACTAAACATAATTGCTTCTAAGACATAGAAATTTCTCAAAAATACCAATTGTAACAAAAGGAGGTTACCTGAAATGTGCGTAGGTAAGGAAGTGTTGTTCATCCCAACTGAAAATGCTGTTAAAAAAAAAAAAAGAAAATAGAAAGAATTAAATCTGTCTTGTATCTTCCCTCTTTGACTTTTACTCGTTGCAGAATATGAGGTTTCTCACAGTGGGACAGTTGGTATCTAGGCATTGTAGGGATATCTGTACATAATTAGCCAACTGACTTGACTGTTCAGTTTTTGGAGAATATTTTTCCATGTCCAGATATTGCTCCTGATGCAAAAATAAGACATCTGGGTTTCTTTAGCTAACACTAGAAGGGTGAGTGTTGGGGAAATAATGGGTTTTTTTGCTAAAAGTAGAGTGTGTAGAGCCAGAATTCCAGATGTTTATAATTTTCTGTGTATTTTCTAGACTACAATGTTAGTTTTTTAATAGCTTTGATATATTAATAGCTAGACATGAGTTTTTAAATAGCTTTCAAACCCAACAAGGGTTACTCATAGGCTCAGTGCATGCCTTGCAGATACTGTTGTATGTGTTTGCAGAACAATTTTTTTGTAAGCTACAAAGAAAAAATCGGGAATGAGAGGTTGCTTTCTGGAAAGCAGTGTTAAGCAGACTCTCTTTAGGGATGAAAGTACCAGTGGGGCTTCTTTTTATCAACCTAGATATCGATCTGCTTCTTTTACATAAACTTGGAGGGAATTAACTTATAGGATCATATTTTTAAGCATCATAGTTTACTTTATAGTCAAAAATACTCAGTAAATAATTTTTAAAAAGAGCCATAATAGTGATAGGATTTATGTATAGATAAATCACCACTGCATGTATACAGTAAAGAAAGATTTCACATTAAAATTATGATCTTTCTGGCTACATCAATCTTGCTTGCAAGGAAAACAAATCTCTCTCTCATGCTCCATTTGTTAACTGCTCTGGGCTTGGTGCAACTGAGCTAGAGCCATAAAAGGCTCTTTGGAAAATATTATTTCTGCTTATTCTGAGAGTTTCTTTTTCTCTTTTCTTGTTGGTAGTATGTCATCAGTCACTCACAGCTGGAAACCAGGACCCTGCAGGTTTCTGTCTGGCACTATGACAGATTTGGACGCAACAGCTTCCTTGGGGAAGTGGAAATTCCATTTGATTCCTGGAACTTTGAAAATCAGGGCGATGAGTGGTTTGTGCTCCAGCCCAAGGTAAGGGTTTCCAGGACTGGTGAAAGTGCTGTGAAGCAAATTTAGCAAGAGTTAGTTATTTTTTCCCTTTGGAACTTTTTTATAAAGCAGGACTTTTTAAGTGTCTAATATGACAATAAAAACAAAATTACTTATTCTTAGTCCAGTAAAAGCTTACTGTTTTTGAAATCTTCATGAATATTTCACATATAATTGGCTATTTAAAAACAATAACCAAAAAAAAGCTTTTAAATAAGCCCTAAATTTGTTCTGTAATAAACACCAATTTAAAAATTACTTAGTAAGTACATAAATCTTTTAAAATACCACACAAAACAAAGAACTTCCCTACCATTCCCCTTACCCAACCATTAAGAGGTTATTCAAGAAACAAGTTTTATTTTTTTTTTAGTTCAAAGTGCTTTACACCTTTCAGATGTGACAAAATCTCTCATTCACCTTAACTGCAAAGGCACAAGATAAACCAGCAGATTGGTCTGTGAACAGAGCTTGCCCTGTACCCAGTGAAGGGCACGGGGACTTCTGTTCCCAGGGCTCCTCTGCTTTGGCAAAGGGGTTCATTTTTGGAAGAGATTCAAAGAGCTGTTGTAAACTAGAGGATTAAAGGCTTCTCTCTTGCTTGTTCCTGCAGCAGCCATAATCCCCAGGAATTCCAGGGGTTTAGATTGACATTTAAGAAAGTGTATATTTCTAATTGCAAAAAAAATATAAGGTGTGCAGCTAATATTATCAAGGTTGACTGATTGATTTGGGTTTTCTATGTTCATGACATTTAAGGAAATCATATTCTCTTTTGGGTTTCAGGAGAGAGGGTTTAATTTTTGCCCTTCTATCAGGTGGGAGATGGATCTGTTTGCTCTGTCATTAATTTCTAGGTGATTCCTTTTAATCCTAACAGGAAAATAACCAAAAGAGTCATGAAGCTCTGCTGCTCAGGATAATAAGTAATAAGGCACTAAGCATTTCAGCCAGTCCAGCTGGAAGGTGGTATCTGATTATTTCCAAGCCCATTAAAAAGATTTTTAAATTACTTCTTTTACTGTCAAAGAAAGCAAACACAGAATTGGTCTTGTCTGCCTTCTAAGTTGTTACCAATAATGTTTCTAAACTTAGAACACTGCTCAAGTTTTTGATCAGCAAGGATGATATTTAAAATAAAATTTTTTAAAAATCAATTACTACTTTTGGAATTAACAAAAAGAAGCACTGGTTAATATCCATACAAAATACACACTGTTCTTCTATATGGACTCCTGATAGAGACAGGAATGGAGGAATGGCAAACAAACATTTTCTGGGATTTATTAAAGTGTTTTGTTTGTTTTATCATGAATCATTTAGCTGCTTCAGTGAAAATGTTGGAGACTTGAAGACGTGTTTTTTCTATGAGCATTAAGAAGGGTGTGATTTAAGTCAGAAAAAGAGCTAAAGAGAGGGCAGAGTATAGAGTCATATGGGTTTGGAGGAGAGGCTAAAAATTTTTTTCTGACATTAAGACTTACACCATTGCTTGTCCACTAGTAGAATTAAATAAAAAATAGCCTTTGATGCCTTTATAGGAAACTTGATCCTAAACTTGCTTAATTTAGGCCATAAGTGAGCTGCCTGACTGGCAAAATGTAGATGTGTAAATTATTCCACTGGCATTTACTACAGGTTTTCTTTAGTCCTTTGTTGTAGCAGCTGGCACTGCACACTTGTGCCAGGCAGGACTGTTTTTCTCAGTAAGTACAGCAGTGCCTGTGTTGCTCTAAAAATGCTTCAAAGTCACAAAAGGGCCCTGTTGCTGTGACTGACATGGCTTTGTCCTCTGTCCCACCCTTGGGTGCAGACTCAGCCCAGTGGAGGTGTCAGTGCCTCAGCCTGCAGTCTGTGAGCTGGAGGCACTGCTGCCCCCCTGCACACACCTCATAAATTCTTGGTGGGGTTTTTCTTGCTTGTTTTCTCTTGGCAATAGAATTTTGACCTTCGTGGGGTGTCAGGAAGCAAGCTGAATACATCTCACAGAAATACATTCACAGGGCAGACATTCCTCCATGAACAGTCCTTTAAAGGCTTCTGTGGTGCCTCGTGTGCCTCCAGAAGTGCTGCAGGATCCCCTCTCTTTATCCATGTCCTTCATCCCTCTGAAGAAATCAGGAAGATCTGTTCATTTGTACCCAAACCTGAGCACTGCAGCATGTACAGGAATCACATCACAGGATCAGAGAATGGTTTGGGTCATCCCACTGCAATGCCCTGCCATGGGCAGGGGCAGCTCTCACTGGAGCAGGCTGGGAGCATCTGAGTAACCCAGCTCCACCAGTGAAGTTAGAGCTCTCTGTGTTACAGACAATGTTTTTAAAATGTAGTTTCCAACTTCTTACAACGTGAGTGGAAGCTCAGTACCCTGCCAGTGAGGGCCTGATATTGTTTTTAAAAGGATGGACTGAAGAGCACTGATTGCGTTCTTCTGGGTAAGATTTAAACATTTCTAAAAAAACATGTAGAAATGCAGAAAGAGTAGCTGTGTAGAAAACAAAGAGGACACTGGGAATAACAGTTTTAAAGAAGTTTTTCTGTTTCAAAGCTGCACACTGCTCTCCCTCCCCTTTGTTCCCTACATATCTAGCCAAAGAATGACTCAGGAGTCGCTTCTCTAAAATACATGAAATTAATTACATTTTAAATCCTGACTGGTGCAAATAAGGGCTGACTATCAGCTTAAATCAGTTATAGTTTATATACTCAGAAATAAGTTTGAGGGAATTTTTTGCTGTTGGTTTTTTTCACTTACTCATGCTACATAACCCCTCTGTGTGTTCACTGAACAGTGTCTAATGCCAGATGGGTTATTTTTCTGAGAGCTTGCAGTCCCTAGCTCAGAAAGCTTTCTAAAATTTGATTGCCTCCAATTTGGAATGTCTTATTATCTGAAAGTGGAATGGTACATCTTGATGTGTTTAAAAAGTGTTTAAAACACTCTGTGGGTGTATTGCTATTTCAACAGAATTAAAATCAAAAGCAGAAGGTAAATTATTAACCTTGGCTGGATTTCTGGTTGGTTGGTTTGTTTTCTCTTCAGGTGGAGGCTGTGACAGATTTTGGACTTCAATACAAAGGAGAACTGACAGTGGTTTTACGTTATATTCCCCCAGACAGAAACCTAATGCTTCCTCTGGGGCAGTTTCAAGGTAAAACAAACATTAATAATTAGGATTTTAAAAGCCATGTGATGATGATGTATTAAAAATCCTCACATAGGGTGAAGTAATGGTACTGGTGAATATTGAAATCATACTTTAATATGCTCATTTGTAGAATCACAGAATGTTAAGGGGTTGGAAAGGACCTGAAAGACCATCTAGTCCCAAGCTCCCTGCCATGAGCAGGAACACCTTCCACTAGGCCAGGTTGCTCAAGGCCTTATCCAACCTGGCTTCAATAGTTATGTGTGGAAATTCTGAAACATGTGTATGTTTCTTTTGCTTCATCCTTTTCTCCTACACTGAGAAAGGAGAGAGAAAGGAAGAGGAATATGCAGTCACTGGTTGACGCATGGCTCTGACTTAATTTAAAAAAAAAGAAATCCAGACATTAGGTAACATGATCAAGGGCAGCCACAGAGAAATAAATTGTTTGCATTGTAGTCGGAGAGTTCTTTTTTCAGCTAGATAAATACAGTGTTTAGCTGATCAAGTAAGAGACTTCACTTAATTTTTCATGCTTAATTCACCTTAATATGCCTCCTCATTTTCTTCCATTTTTCACACTGCTTTTCCTCTGCTCAGTCTTACTGTATTACTGCTGCAATTGAGTCCTGCAAAATCTTATTTGAGCTCTTTACTTGAGCCATTATTTTCATCAGCAAAGAACAAGGGAGAAGAGTTACTATCTCTTTGCATTGTACTAGCATGAGGAACAGCAATCCTTTGAAGAGAGAGCAATCACTGGGCAGCACCTGAGTGCACATGGAAATGCCAAATTCAGGTATATCAGTGTCTCAGTGACAGTATTGCTTGTTGGCATTTGCATTTGATGGGTTAGATTTCTTTCTTCTCCTTTCTTCTTTTTTTTTTTTTTAACAGATGATATTCCCTCTACTGGTAGTAAGGTTTCCTCAAGGTTTGCTCTCTTAAAAGCTCATTGTTATCAGCTTGGTCCAGATACAGTCTGCATTTTTTAAAATTAGTACATTTTAGCATCACTTTTAAAAATCTAGCCAAGACAATTTACATTTTTAAATCAGTCTTACAGTGTATGCATAATTTCTGATTGTAATTTTGCAACTTTGTTCTATGCTTAGGAAAGAGAGGCTTCAAAAAAGGAAAGAAAGGAGATTCTCATCTGCCATCTGGAGGCATATTAGAAGTCCTCATCAAAGAAGCAAAGAATTTAACAGCAGTGAAATCAGGAGGCACATCTGATACTTTTGTTAAAGGGTTTGTGGGGATTTTCCTCTCCTTTTTTTAATGACTGCACTGGACCTAATTTAAGATTTGTGTTACATATCTGTAAGCATGTGGGTACACAAAAAATTTACATAGTACAACAACGTATGTGTGTTATTTAGACATGCAGCATTTTGTGTTGGACAGTCAAAATCCAAACTGCACAGAATGCTTGTGTTTGAAAAAAAATCACTAAATCCTGCATCTCTCTTTATAATGGATTTCTCATAAATGTAGGATAAGCATTATAAATGTTACATTTAGGAAGTAATAGATACCTTAAAACATTTTTCTTTGCCATTTTTTGCTCTGAATGCTAGTTTTCAGGCTTGCTGATTTCTAGTTATGTTCCAATTCACAGTAATGGGTTGAGTGTTGTTACTAAATGAGGTCCATGGAAACATCTTGTCTTTAATTCCCTGGTGCAACTTAGATTTTATCTTGATCTTCTGCTGTGCTTAAAACTATCACTCAGCACATACATTTCAAGTAGAAAAAGTAATTTTCATTTCTTTCTGGACAATCTCTTGTTGCACTTTGAGATGGACCCTGGACAAGATGACTCCAGAGAGGTCCCTTCTCTAGCCAATATTTTTATGACTGTCTATATTTAGCCTCACTGAAACAAAAAGGTTGTGGTTGAGACCTGGGGCAAGGAGACTGAATTACAATTTCTGCTTGTGGTAACTGACACTGTAGGTATGAGAACAAATGGAGCACAAATGCAAAATAAGCACTTGAGGTAGATGCTTAACAAAATACCAGTGGGGAGATTGGTTCCTGATCCCATTTGAGCCTCTAGATGATTGTTGGATATTGTGAATACTACGTGAAAATTCATTTCCATATTCATTTTCCTTTTCTTTATCTCCCAGATACCTGCTCCCAGATGACAGCAAAGCTACAAAACACAAAACTCCCATAGTAAAAAGGAGCGTGAACCCCCAGTGGAATCACACCTTTGCCTTCAGTGGCTTGAATTCAGGGGACATACGGAATGCCTGCCTGGAACTGACTGTGTGGGACAAGGAGTCACTTTCCAGCAATATTTTTTTGGGAGGTGTCCGTTTGAGCACTGGAAATGGTAAGGTCCCATCTGACTCAGGCTGCTTTTCTTACTCTGCCCTCCTCTTTCCTTACCCCGTGTGATTCACGAAGGACAGAAATGTTACTGAGTGTTTTGAAAATACACGGGAAGTTGTGGAATTTGAAAAATGGAGAAAAGGCAGCACGTAGATAATCTGTAGATGATTTAGTTCTTTCCTCCACTGAATGAGACACAAAAGTTATGTGCCCGTTTGTATTTCTGCACAGTCTAAAAGAACTGTGAATACCTTGGGAAGCATTCCTTAGCATCCCAGTGAGAAGGAGTGAACCACTTCTGGGCAGCAGCAGCTTTTCTGCTGACTGTGGTGTGAGCTGGAAGAGGTGTGAATCCATTCCTCCTGTGCTGGGAAAAAGTTGTTTGTGGTGCAGCGTGGGGAAGTTTATGAGCCTCTGCCCGTGTGCCTGAGGGTGTTTAATACCAAACTGGTGCTCTCCAGGAGCTGCCTGTTTTCAGTACAACTCCCTGTACAGGTGGAAGTATAAAGTGCTTGTCATTTCTCCTGTACACTGTTGTCAATGAGGAGTGATGTTATCCAACTGCTTCCTAAAATGGCAATTTCCCATGTTTTTACCATTGTCAGGTGTAAGCAATGGCAAGGAGGTTGACTGGATGGACTCTCAAGGGGAAGAGCAGCACCTCTGGCAGAAGATGATTGACAGTCCGGGAGCTGCAGTGGAAGGGGTGTTAATGCTGAGATCCAGCATGGGGAAACGCAGACTCTGAAAGCCTTTCACTCCTGGGGGTGCCACAGGCACTCCTGGCTTCAGGGGTGTCCAGGCTCTTGTCACTTTGCCCACTTGAACGTGAGAAGGGTTGTACTCTTTGCCTTGGATATAAAGGCTCTGAGTGAGATTTGAATGCATTCTGCACTTTCATGCACACATTTACCCAGGCTTCTTGTGTGAATTGTTTCTCCTGAAGCCAGTGAGAGCTGGAGCTGGCACAGAGTCAGACTGGCTTTCTCTGTCCCCTCTGGTGGCAGCTGATGAGCACTCTGCCTGAGGGCCAGCAAATCCTCCCGCTGATCACTTAGTGAGTAATGCCAGGTTTGTGAATCTCTGCTGGCTCAGGGATGGCCCAGAAGGCAGCAGTGGCACACAGCAAGCAGATTCAAAGTCAGTCTGTGCTTTGGTGTTTCTAAGTTAAGAAGCCATAATGGTATGAAGGACAACAAACAGTGTTTCTTCATCGTGTTTGCTTGTTGGGCTGTGCAGTGGTGCAGCACGGCAGGCTTGGGACCAGAACCCAGCCAAGCAGGGCCAATGCAGAGTTGCATTGCAGTGTTGCATTGCCCTAGAAATGGGCAGCAGTGAGCTGGTGGGCAGGGCTGGTATCCTGGAATCTTCTGGGTGTTTTAATGCACATGTAGAAAAGGCAGACTTGGTCCAACATAATCTAAGAGCCTCTAATGAAAATAAATAATGACAAAGAGTTTCCAGAACTGTGTGATGCTACTGTGTTTGTCATTCAGTTGGCAGCTCTAGCCAAGACCTTCTGATGTCATTGAACAGAGGGAATATGTCCACATGCCAGTCCCCATCTCTGTTGCTGAGAGAGACACATGCCAGGTTTGGATAGATTGCTAAAACCCGATTCAGCAGATTGTATAGAACAGAATGGGATTAAAGCACATGCCAAAATGATTTGCATAACTGTAAAATCTCCTCTGAATGAGCTGGGGTCCCGTTCAGGCCCATGTGCATTATTTATAATTCAAGAAGGACATCTTTTCATTAAATCCCCCAGTGCAGTTAATTGTGAGTGGGTCTTGGCCAATACAATCATTAATCTTATTAACCATGACAATTGTTCAACAGTAATTTTGTGATTCCTCAAGGTGTAAGACAAAGAAAGATCAGGAAACTGAGTGAAAAGCATTTCTTCTGAACTTTCTTCTGAACAATTAGAACACAACTTTCTCTTTGCACTGGTAAATTAATCTATAGCTATTCCTACATTTTTTCCCCCCATAGTTTTTTGCAAGAAATCTAGATTGAACAACAGAATATAATCTGATATCTGAGCAAATACAGCTGGAGATTTTTGACATTTGTAGTTGTCATAGTGTACAACTAAGTACAAGTATTTAGAGCTGAATTCAAAACCTTAAAATGTAGCGTTAATTCTTCTCTTTTTAAGATATTTTATGCTGGTTTTCGTTGGAGTGGCTGGAAACTGCAGGGAAGTTTACAGCCAATCTTTTAAAATCATAATATTATTGAATAAAATAAAAGGTATTTATTCATGTTGAAAACAATAGTTTTCATGAATTGTTTTGTTTCATTATGCATAAGTTATTTCAAAATTCTGATATGACTTTTGAAAGTCACTGGAAGCACTGCTTGCCCAGTTGGAGACTCACCATTTTCAGAAATTACCAAGTTATCTTTGAAAATGAAAATTCTCCTACAGAATCTCAGTTTGGGAACCAAATGTCAGTGGTTACTCAAGAAAACTGACTTAATTTTCCTTCTTTATCTTTTCTTCGCTTTTTTCCTGAAGTTCAGCTCAAATTGGGCAGTGAGGGAAGTCTTGTTTGGTTTTACCTTTTAATTTTTCCAACCTAAATGATTCTGTCATTCTACAATTCTGTGCCACAGCTGCTGTGAGCTGATAAATTAGAGCACAAATATAAAGCACACAACATCTTATGACCTTGTTCTTATCACCATAGTCTGTCTTTAATATTAGATTATTTTTTATCAGTATCATCCAAAGTGACCAAACCTAACTTTTGACACCTAAACTACCTCTCTTTTTAACAGAATTGTTTTGAGTTGTCTTGGTTGTACTACAAACCTGAATTTATTTTGGAAATAATAATATTACATTGACATGTAGGCACAAACTTTTTTTTTTTCTTTTGCTAGAAGTTGTTTCAAACAGATAAACTTCTTGAATATAAAGAAAATGGTTCTTCAAGATAAAATTCCAGCTTGAGTTGTAGAGGAATATTGGTCTTTTGAAGCATTTGCTTTGGTTAATTTTTATGGTGAAAATGGCAAAAATAATAACAAAAAATTCCTCCAAGATGGACCTTGGAATGAGCATTTTTTCATTTGCCAAACTGAAAAAACTTAAAATAATTTTAAATTTAATTTACTTTTGCATGGAGCACAAGCATTTGCCTAATTTTTGAATGGTACTTCCTAATCTCCTTAGCATGAACATTTTAGCTAAATCACATCTTGCTTTGAAACAAAAATATTTGTATTTTACAGCTTCAACTTCTGCCCATTTTGGTCATAAAGCAGATTTTGTGATGAATGGTTGCATCTGGGAAGTGTCACCCGGCACATACATGGGCTTTAAGCTCTGCCTGTTCCTTCCAAAGGGCCAAAATGTCTCTCTGAGCCCACACCTGAAATTCCAGGCTGGGCTATGACCAGGCTGCAGTTCAGCCTATGGAGGGAACAGTTTCACCTGGGAAGAAATTCCAGGTGAAATTGGAATTTCAGCTGGGGATTGCCATTGATGGAGGTTGGGTAGAAGGGTGAAGTGATCTCCTGGTTATAGCAGGGACAGTTCTGCAGCACCGTGTCACACTCACCAGAACCTTGGAGAGATCATGAGCATCAGATAAACACCAGAGCAATTTGGAAAGTTTTGCTGCTCTCTGATGTTATCAGCCCATTTGTAGGAAACATCTGATTTATGGAAAATGTCACATTTAATTATGTCTCTCATCTCTTTGTTCTCTTCTTCTGTAAAGATGGTTTATGGTTTGGAAAAAGCACAAGATGATTAACTGCAGATGTGATTTCTTGTTTCCCGGATATTTGAATTAATTGCCCATAATTGTGCATCATCATGTACTGTGTGTTACCAGGCTGAACAAAAATGACAGAAAGCCAGGAATTAGACCAAAGCTTTCCTTTTCTATCTGTATTTATAATATTGAAGGTGCATGAATGCTTTATTCAAAGCTAATTTTTAGGAGGAAGTGGGCACAATTTTAACACTGATTCATAAACTCCTGCCCTGAGTAAACAGATACAGCAGAACTGATGTTTCTGAAGTCTTTTTCTACACAGACCTGAACAACTGAAACTGCATCAGTGGAGAAGAAATCTGCTCCATGGCAGGTGCAGAAAACATGTTACAAAACACATTTTACTCTGCTACATATTTTTCCAGCAGGGTTTGTGATTGAAGTTGGAGGGTTCAACCCATTAAAGAAGAGTTAAAGTGCAACATTTGCTGTAAAAGGTCAGGTTGGGCCAGTAAACACTTCCATAGACAGTGCCAATAATTATCAAAAAGAGCTGATGCCGAGGGCTTTCCAAGCCCTGCCAGCAGATTTTGGTATCCAGCCCTACTCTCTGGTGATTTTCTCTATCAGCTGAATGGGGACTTCAGGCTTCTAAACCTGCTTACATGTTGAGATACCAAAACCAGGATGAAATGATTCCTATCTCCTCTACCTCCACCATGTCACACTTGAGATGAGAGGAAAGCTGCAAAGACTGGGGGCTGCTGTTGCCATCTTCCTGTGCTAATCCAAGTGCCACTGCCCTCCTTGGATACCTTTCAGATGCCACATTTTCATCTTTCTTTTCAGCTGTAATGGTTTCAGAGAGAAAGCATTGGGATGGTGAGCATGTTTTGATCATGGTACATTAGACTGGAAGCTTTTTCTTCTGTACTTCTCCAATGCAGATTATGCTGAGGCAGCACAAATGAAGCATTTTTATATATTAATTTTTGATTTTTCTTTTCCTGACTGGTTAAGCTCTGCTAAATGCAATTATTCTAAGTTGTAGTCTGCAAAATGTCAACTCAACTATAACTGCAGAGCAGCTTTTGAGCATCCATTGATCCTAATAGATAAGGAGAAGTAACAGGAGGGTTGCGTTTTAGTCTGATGCAATTTTGACTTCTTGATGGCTCTGCACATTGCCCAACTTCGGGAATGTAAAGTTTGCAGTTTGTTTTGTAGCATCAATGAAGAGAAAAGCTTTTTGGGTTTCTTACATCTTTGGAGAAGAGATCAGAGTCCTGTTTCCACAGCTGTCTGATTTGTGGGCTCACACAAGATAATAAGAGTTGTACCTGAATCTTTGCAAGGGTCTCTCTTCCCTTCACCCCTCCCTTTGCTTCAGCAGCTGTGACCAGAAGGTTCTCCCTGGACACTGATCCCCAGTATCTGGGAGAAGGCAGCATGCAGAAGGGATGGGAGAGCCCCTCTTATTTTCTTCTATATGAAGTTAAGACTGAAATTTTCCTTTGCTAACATACAGCATTGATTTTCAGCACTTTGCCACCATGACATAAACAGTATCTTCCGAGAGCTGACCCATGCACTTTATAAACTTTTTTTCCAACTAATTAGTTATTATTTTTTCTACCCCCAGAGATGTTAACATTTAAGAACCCTAGAGAAATGATGGTGAATTCCAGAACAGGATGCAGACTATTATTTGCAGTGATGCCCTTTACCATAGCTCAGCAGGAGCTGCTGAGAAGCATGCTAACAGAACCTTACCACTGTGCCCATGAATTGCCTCCCTGATGATTTCGTGTTTTCAGATGCTGTTTAATAAGTGATAATACTGGAAACTGAATCTCAGCTTGCTTTTCAGGTCGCTTTTGAAACTCACCCTGGCTGCATCTTGACCTTTTATTTACATTATTTATTTCAACAACCCTACTTTGTGGCAATAACATTTACATGGCTGTGTGCTACTGCTCCTGACAGCTCTGTGTATATTTTTGAGAATAGTTCTAATTGTTGAGGTTTGCCTAAAGCCAAGCATAGTAATTTGCTGCAGCAATTAGAGAATGTCACATATCCCTTGTGCTGCCTTTGTTCTGCTTACAATCTGTTGCTAGCAATTTGTTTTATTATTCTGGTGGACATGAACAGTAGTAGCAGTAAATGGCATAAATGGCATTGCAGTATGTTAAGCTATGCCCAAATTGAGCAAAGCAATGTTTTCTGCTGAGAACATTTTTGTACTGTGCATTGTACATTGTTTTGTGGACAAAGATGGCTGGTAAGCCATTTGCAGCTCTTGTCAAGATTTCTGTTTTGTCTTCTAAATTAAAATACTGAAATGCTGTTGTGTCTTTGTCTCTCCTAAAATGAATTACAGGAAACTATGTCTCCCAGGAGTATCCCATATTATCTCACTGAGGTAAAGACATCGCTTGTATGTGATGCAAGGGTTCTGGCATGTTTTCAGAGGTGGGACTCCATTGATGGTGTCTCTGTCTCTCCTTTTTTTGTCTTAAAAGCACTTAAAGTGTAGAAATTACGCTATATTTTATTTCATAAGCATTAAATCTGATTTCTTTTAAATATGCAATTCTAAGGAAAAGGAAAATACAGCATTCTCTTTCTCCTTGCTATAGAATTATTTTACATGTATATTAACTCCGTCTGTTCACCAGGTCCTCCCCTCCAAGTCTGAATCTCCTGCCTCTTCCCTAGCTCAAAGTAATACTCACCTGGACATCCAGGTATGTTCAAAATTACAGAAAATATGTAATTTCTGGTGCTGATTTCTTTTTTAATTATAAGAAAAATCAATAAGCATTCGACCCCTCAATTTACACTTTCATCAGAGTTGTGTTCAGTTCAACTTACCTCAGAGCTCAGGGTTCTGTTACATCTTCTTGTGGTTCTCCAGTGCCCTGGGCTTTTGTGCCTTGCTGTGCCTTCCCAGTGAGAGGAAGCAAACCCTGCTCCTGGGCTCTGGGCTTGTGCTGCCTCTGCTCACTCTGAAAGCCTGGCTCAGTTCCTGTGCCCAGCCCAGCAGGGCTCAGTGGTCTCAGCTTTCATACCACCCTTGCCCAGCTCGTCCCTGGGCTGGTTCTGGCCTTTATGGGCAGGTCAGACACCCAAAAACTGGAAAAAAGTTGCAGGTAGGGGAAGAGCCCTCCTGCCACTGCTCTGCTCTCTGTACCTTTGCTCAGGACTCAAGGACTTGCTTGAGGGTCTGCAAGACACCTCTGTCACTCCTGTACAGCTGGACATTAGTTCCTCCTCCCCTTCTCTTGGAGGTGACAGATAACAAATTCTCCTTGTAAATTCGAAGTATGAGCCATCCTAATTCTTGAAATTCAGGTTTTGGTTACTTTCTGGCTATGTGGGTGGCAATGGGAGACGTGTTGGTAGCTAGAGATGCACTAGCACATTCTGCATGGACACAGGCATTCCCATTTGTCCCCTCTGTGTTTCACAGAGCATGCAGCAGCTGGGTCACTGCTTGAAAGGGGCCAGAGAAAAAACACGTGCTCTCCTCAGCTGCCCATATCCTCACTGGCTCCTCTAGCCCAGGCAACCTTGCTGCTCTGCCTTCCAGCACCTGCAGGTGGTTTCCCACTCTTCCCTTCCCCAAGCTGCCATAAAAATATCCCCCAGCCACAAGTGGGGAGAGAAAAGAGCAGCAGCTACATGGCCAAGAGGAGCTGAGCCACCCCCTGATGGTGTGAAGCACTTTTCACTTCCTGGGGATGTACAGCAGGAACAGAGACTGTGGTGAGTGGCTGGAAGTGATCAAGCATTGAGATTGCACAGCTTGAGCTCTATTATTCCCCCACCTCAATTTAAAAAGTGAGTTGTGATTGTAAGAGTATTTAAATATACTCCAGGTTACTCTTTAGGCTCTGCATTTTCATTAATTATGTGATGCAGTCTGACTCACGCTCTTATGTAAGTACTGAGCTGTAATGAAGTCCCATGTTGTGGTTGTTTAGTGCAGAGCTGTGGAGGATCATTGGTGTTTTCATTAAAACACAACACTTTCTGTTCCAGAGGGCTTTGGACTTCAAGAATAGGGATGTGCAACTTCAAATTTGTCTCTCTTCTGCAGCTGTAAAGGAGGTGTGTGACAGCAGGGATTGTTCTCATCTAATTAGGTGGATTATTGGGTAGAATCTGGGGAAAATCAGGCCATTTACAAAATTGGTTTTTGCTGATAAACTGCTGCCTCCCACAATTTATCTCAATAGTTTTGTTTGTAAAAGATGCTGCATGTCAGGAGCAGTAATTCCTTTCTCATCTGAAATAATGGAAGTCTTCTGGTTCATGCTCAGAACTTCCAGATTGATGTAGGAACCTCCAGCCCATGACACTCTCCACACACTGTGATATGTCACATCTCCTGCAATGACAGCCTGGAGGTGGTATGGAAAGGGTGAGACTTATGGCAGGTCTAATATTTGTGTTTTCAATCAGATTTGCATTCTGTCAGCAGTGGTAGGATTAGAGCTACGGCAAGAAGAGCTGTGTTGGTAGTATGAAATAGACTCCAGCCAGCGTAACTTGGGAGGGAGGAGAATTTTTTGTGAAACCTTAAATAAAAAAGTGCACTGGTGTAGATACTGAACCTTGCTTATGCAGTGTTATTTTTCAGGGACCAGAAGTGTACAGGATGAGTTACTGAAATATATTTGCATATATAAATGCTGGGCTAAAGCCAGAACTACTAAATCCCTTGTTCAAACACTCCCAAAAGGCTATTCTACTAAATTCCTGCATACCATACATGCAGGCTAATTCAACTCCAAAACAGAGATGGTACATGGTATTTTTCACTGTTCCTCACAAAAACATACAACAGAAAATGCCAAAAACCTTGTATTACTAATCAAGAGCAGTTTTTCTTAATCACAGGATTTTAATAGATGTTCTGTGCAGAATATAACTAGTAATCCAATCACTCATGCACTCTCCTCCACTTAATTCAATTTCCTGTAACAGCCTAGTGATTGCAATCACTTCCCTGATTGTAACAATTGTAAACCCTGCTCCTGTTCATCCAGTTGTGAAAGATGACTGGATGCACTGACTCTGTACCTAAATCAAACTGGAGCAGCAGCATCTTGGAATTGCAGCAATACAGGAGAAAAATCAGACCCATCTGAGATTTTTATTTTGTAATATATTTTACATAATTGGAAATCATGTTTTCAGTGAGGAAAAGTGAGGGAATAAACCCCCCCTAAACCTGTCCACTTGTGATTCATGCTCTAAGCATGTACATGCAAAAGAACCTGAACCACAACTGGGGCCACAGCAGTCTTTGTGTGGATGTGTCCTTGGCTGCCTCTGTTCCACAGGCACAGAATCACACAATGGTTTGGGTTGGAAGGAACCTCAGAGATCATCTTGTTCCAATCTCCCTGCTGTGGGTAGGGAATCTTCCACAAGACGTGCTTCAGAGAGCCTCATCCAACCTGGCCCTGAAAGCCTCCAGATTCCTGGCCCTCATCACCCTCAGAATTTCTTCCTATCATCTAATCTAAACCTGTCCTCCTTCAGCTTAAGGCCTTTTCTATCACTGCATGCCCTTCTGAAAATCCCTCTGCAGCTGCTCTTGTGTGTTCAGCAACACCCTCCTAACCCTGGGGAGCAGATCATCCTGTTCAGAAGACATGGCATACCCCCACACAGCTCCTCTTTGGGCTGTCACACTTCAGCAGCTTTTGCTAGCTGCTCAAAGCTGACTTACCTCACTCTGCATCCACTCCCTCTCTAATTCATTTGCAGGACCAATCTACTTTTAAAAAAGCTTTCTTTCCTTTTTTATTTTTCTTTTTTTTTTTTTTTTTTTTTTTTTCAGAGGATGCAAGAGACCAAATTCTGGTAAGGATTGCTTTAAAGATGGTGCTAAAACTGTTTTTCTGCTGACACCACTGTAAAATTTAAAACTCTACCTTATGGTCACAGTCAAACAAGCATTTGGCTGAAAAAAAACTGTATTCTTGAGGGACAAGAATGAACTTGCTCATTCAGCTCAGATGCTGGGTGTTAGTTCAGACAGTCAAATCATGCATCATACCCAGTGAACAGGCATCCAAACTGTAACTCACAGTTTTCACTCCTCTGATACTTGTATTCTTTATGCATTATGTGTATTCTTTGCAGTGGATTGTCAAGACTGTGGGCTGTAATAAAACAAATGAAATTTTTTCCTGCTTTGATTGCCTCTTGATATTTTTTTATTAAACAGGGAATTTTTTTTTGTTAATTTCAAGTGATGACTTGCAAACAAGTATTTTCACAGCTCTGGAAGTGACAAATCCTTGATGATGTTTCCCTGGAGTAATGTTTCCCTGCCATCAAATCAACAGCCTTGTCTGTCTCCAAGGTGAAGAGGGGGGGAAAAAAGTCTGCTACTCCAAGACTGTTGGACATTAAAAGCCAGAAGCAGAAGTGTAGCAGGTAAGAACATATGTTCCTATTAAGAACTGCAGTACATGGGGCATAGTAATTACTGCCCATCCTCTACACTGATCACTGCTCCTTCATCATGTTCCCTGTGGCAATGACTTCCATGCTCCTGCTATCACCAATTTTCTCCCTGCTGCTGCTGAAAATCAATGCTCGTGTTGCCTTTGGCTCATGCTTTTTGTCTGTGATTGACACTTTTTTTAGTGGAACTAAAGGGCACCAGTGGGTTCCTAATGCACTTTCAGTGTGAGGCTAATGTCTTTTATAATGGTTTGCAGACAGATATTTTGAACCAACTTTTGTATCAGCTGACCAACTTTAACCCCCAAGAGGAATTTAAGACAACTATCTGTTTGCAAAACAATATTTTATTAATAAAAAGAATTATAAACAGTAAGAAAGAAACCCCAATTTTACACTGAATGAAAAATCCAAAATAAACTCCCAGAACTGTGCCTCAGTTCTTCACTCTCTGTACAAGAAATTCCATTAGGTAGTAAATCCTACATCCACATTCATCCAGCTGTGGGGTCCCCAGCAGGAGGAAAGACATCAACCTGTCAGAGCAAGTCCAGAAAAGGCCACCAAGGTGATCACAGGGACAGAGCACCTCTCCTGTGAGGAAAGGCTGAGAAAATGGGGATTGTTCAGCCTGGAAAAGAGAAGACTTAGGGGTGACCTAATTGTGGCCTTCCAGTCCCTGAACAGAGCCTACAGGAAAGATGGAGAGGGATTTTTTACAAGCATCTGGAGTGACAGACAAGGGAGAATGGCTTGAACTTGTAAGAGAACAAGTTCAGATTAGATATTGGGGGAAAATTCTTCACTGTGCAGGTGGTGAGGCACTGGCACAGGTTGCCCAGAGAAGCTATGGCTGCCCC